AAGACATTCCTCGAGTATTTAGATCACTAGAGAAGAATGAGGAACGGGCGAAGCAATTGCTTATATGGATTCAGGAAGCAATTTCTTCCGGACAGTTACAAGACCCAGGAAAGCCAGGCGTATTATGGTTCAATACATTCCTAAAAAAGGATGAATTTCTCCCTAAAATAGGTAAACCGCTACTTCCTAGTTCTTTGCGCAAATTAGGGGCGGTATTTGCAGTTGTATCGCATGGTTCAAAGAATTTATCAGAGGTTATGACTATCGCTAGTGAAGCACTTCGCCACAGTGCAGACAACCATGTCTCCCCTGCAAAAAACTATACTATAGTCAATTTTCGAAAAAGAGGACAGCCTTATGATCAGGCAACGGCATTCGAGTTCTTCGATGAAAGCTAATCACATAGATGTGTTAGTCAACATTTATTAATTTTATTTTTTCGTTCGAGGCAAGATCTAGTATATAGAATATATCACGAAAATGGTAACCGATCAAAAGCATTCATCTCAGTCTTCTGAAGATTCTGATTCAGTTGAAATATTTGAGGGATCCCATAGGGACTGGGTAAGAGGGGCTGTCCTCATAAGCAACGAAAAAAGATGCGACCAAGAAAGGTTAAGCTAGTGGTAGTTTGAAGTGCGACCAAGAAAGGTTAAACTAGTGGTAGTTTGAAATGGCTGAGCCAGAAGGATTCGAAAAATCAGATGTTGAATAGAGGTTTTAATTGTATATTTGAATATTATATATGCCATAATAAAATGGTATTCGTGAATTGTATAGTCGGAGAAAATATCCCTATTGAGGCATCAATTGATACGTCTACTGATGTAAATTGTATTAGCCAAAAACATATTAGTGAATTAGGAATTACATATCACAATGAAAGCAATAGCATTGTAACTCCAGATGCATCCTATTTCACATTAGGAAAGGTCAATCTGCATATTGGTTTTGAAGATGGCGGGAAGCATAAAAGCACACCCGTTGAATTTATAGTTCTTGGACCGGAGTGGCCGGGACCTGATTTAATTTTAGGAGGACCTTGGTTTCAAGAAAATGGTGCAACTTTGGATATATGCAATTCAAAACTATTATTAGACGATAATTTTGTGATCCCGGTCCTGGTCAGACCCTCCCAATCAAAAAAGTAGAATATGAACCTGTGCAATGATTATTTGGAGTGATCATGTATTACTAGCCTTATTTTTTGGATTAAAAATATTCTAACCATATAAAAATGCATATATTTAATTTTCTAGAACAACTTTCGCTAGAATTAATACTATTTATTCTAAAGGATCTTTCAAACAAGGATCTAAAAAATTTTCACAGTATAAATGATATATAGGCAAAGGAGGTAGATCTTGAATGGTCTAAAAGAAAAACTCTTTTCGATTTTCGTACTTTGTCATTGGTTTAAGGTGAAAATACAATCAAGGAATTTTATTTGAAGTTGAAAAAGTGTAACAAGAATTTAGACTATAATGAAAATTTCCTTAAATGCGTATTATTAAAAGGATTATTACCTGAGAATATATTTAAAGTTCTTATGGGTGGTTTACAAGCACTTGCGTTAGATGAGATACTGAAAAGACTTATCCTAGAGCAATGATTGCATGATTTTCTTGAAGGTATTTTGTTATTTTTTCATTTAAAGATACAACATATAAACAGAATATTTAGCTAGAAACGCTTCGCATGACGCAATCAAGTATCTTTTATTTACCAGAACTATTAGAACAGATTTATATTTCTTATTGATAGATAAATCCATCTACCCAGCTCTATATGTTTCCCGATTGTGGTACAGATGCAGTGCCCCTATTCTATGGAGACGCATTGAGCTAAAGGAGAACGATCCTAAAGCAAAGAAATTTATAGAATTAGTATGTGAGAAGCAAAAGCCAATTTATAGCTCGAAACTAACCCATCTCGAAATTTCATACTATAATCCACTTTCAAGTAAGAAAATTGAAGGCATCGTAAGAACATATCCAAACATAATTCATTTGAATTTCGAAAATTGTGTGAGTTTTAGTAATAGAGCGTTAAATCAGCTTAAAGCATACCCCAATCTGAGATATCTTAATTTATGTAATAGTGGTATTATAGGTGATAAAGCTTTATGTGGAATGGTGGGATTATGTCATAAAATAGAATATCTAAATATTTCTTTCTGCTAAGGCATTACTGATAGATCTTTAATCAAAATTGCGGACAGTTGCCAAGCTTTACAAGAGTTTCATTTTGCTTGTGCGCATTTGATTTCTGAAAGATTTATAAGTCACATCTTAAACTTATACCCAAATTTACGAAGATTCAGTATTCCGAGTAGCTGTCGAAGAAAAAATAGATGTGATATATTAGTAGAAAAACTTCTTACTGTAGAGAAACACCTTAATGTAGAGAAATATTTTAGTGTAGAGTATCTTGATTTTGGTGGGTGTGTTTACGTCGCCAAGACTTCAATTTGCAATACCATTCATTCCTGTTCAAATCTCCAATATCTCAATCTTAGTTTTTGTAAAATTAGCAATATAACTATCAAAGAAATTGCTAGTTCGTGTCTTAATTTAAAGTATCTCGATTTGGAAGGGTATTATAATATTAGTAAAGAAGCCATAGATCAGCTAAATCCAAATACCCATATCGAGAATTTCCTCTGAGATCCGATTCAAGCTGAGATAGAGCGAGTGGTAGATCTAATATCAAGACAGCCTAAAGTTGTTAATACTAGAAGTCAGCTTCACCAGGGATTCTGACAATCTAATTCCAACATATCTATAACAGTTGACTCTGGTGCTAATCACCCCATTATAGCTATAAATAGACAAACACTGACTTAAGGTATCATTTCCACCTTAATGTTGAGATCTGTTGATAGATTACTCAACGATCAAGCAGAATGGTGAAACTTTACCAGTCTAACTAATCAGGAGCAGTGATTTGACTTCTTCAGCTCAGAAGATTTATTGCTAAGCCATGTACAGCGCCTTCGGTCAGATTGTGCAATAAAAAAAATAAGTGGATCACCAGATAGATTGTGTGACATATTAATTTTCACATATCGAAAAGAAGTTATATGCTAACCAATACTTCTATTTTTTATTGATCTACAATATTAGCAAAATGTTTGATGAGGATATAGATGCTGAGAAGGAGAAAGCTTTTGATGAATTTACCAAAGAATATGGAGAGAGAGAAGAGGATTGGATTATTTATGATAATGATTGGCACGACTGGAATGACCTTTTTTGTGAAATTAAAACCCATTGGAATACAAAAGTGGTCAAGTATTGGAAAGAGAAAATACTTAAGCGATTTGTATATAGTCTACCCAATGTAAGTAATCCAACGTCATTATTCCACATATTCTTACAATCCAATATTATTTATCTCCCACAAATAATAAGTCTAATAGAATTGCCATATTATCCACTTGAACTTCAATCAGAAATATGGGATCCCTCCAGAACCTGACCAGATGGTATTTACTATACAAGTGGCATTGGAATATCAGATTAATCTCACGAAGTCAGCCATCAAAAAAAATCCTGAGTTACTTTGAAATAACGTGAAAAGGGTAATAGGTATAATTGTTGGGCTGTTAAAGGATAGGGTTAGTGTAGATAGTTCCCCAACTAGTAAGAGGGTTAAGATCAAAAAAATTATCAAAAATTAATGTGTATCGCAGGCTACGTCCCGAACTTTGTATTTATTTTTGTATGTATTAATAAAAAATTTTTCTTGGCGAATTTGGACAACTTGAGGTTGCTGAAATCACGTGAATTTTTTCCTTGTATCCATGCAAATATCATTACATATATTGAATAATTCCCTTCGTATATAAAACATACTACAATCATGTCATCTGAGCTTAAATTATTGAGACAGTGTATCACTGAGCTTGAGGCTGAGAATGCGAAGTTGAGACAGATTATTGATGAGAATACCAAACGTGAAGCTGAAAATACTGAACTCAAGTCTAAAGTCAGGAAGCCTGAATCCAGACTTGCGATATTAGAACAGAGTCCCCTGATAGTGGATGAACAGCTAGAGAATGATAAGAAAGTGTCATCAGAGGTATCAGTTGTTATTGTATCTGATTCGTCACCTATTCACAAAGTTCATAATCAATTAAAATTAACAGAGCAGATCGAAGAGGTACCAAAGGTACCAAATCAAGAGAAGACATCAGAGGATATGAAGACGGATGCTTTCTTAGTTGAGGTCTATAAGAAAGCATTAGCAATGAAATTAGAAAACGTAATAAGGAAAAGAAACTTAGTAAAGCGGTAGAAGATCAAGTATCATTACAAAAAATATCTGATATTGCCTCTAGTATCTCTTCTTCTAAAAAGCTCATGAGTACAAAAAATGGGCAGGGATTAATTCAAGAAATTACTGCCAACTTTGATGAATCCACTACTCCTTCATCTATTCAGGAGAATGATTCCATATGCGCATTGTCTCTCAACCCTTCAGAAATTTTACTTATTTCGGGTAAGAAAAATATCATTTGCTTATATAAAAGAGCCAGCGATACAGAAGGTCTCACAATGAAAACTAATCAAAAAGAGATACTAAGCTGGTATTTATATGCTGAAGAGTTTTTAATTATGGTTAAAGACATCATGACCAATGGTAATGTTGGCGAGAAAAAGGCAAAAGGTCAGGTTTATGATTTTATTGTCTAACAACTTCCTGATACTAAGCAAGATAATTTATGTAAGCAAACTCAGAGAGCTATAAAAATCTTTGATTTATTCGAAAAAATAGGTATAGATAAGATCCGGTATATCTAAACTTATAGCGCAAATTCTATCTCAAAAATTACTAATACAGATCTCCAAAAGGTTATAGATCACTTTTCTAATAATTCTAATTCTTTTACTGAGCTAGAATTTTCGCCGACCTCAGAACGTCTAAATCATGTGACCAAAATCTCCGAAACCATAGCTAATTCATCCTTATCAGCTGATGAGGAGGATTATATAAAAATGCTTACGGGGGGTATTGATGATGAGACTCTCTATGGGGGTACACCATACGTAAACGAGGCTAAGGTAGAGAAAGAGGTGGTGAACGAAGTTAAATCAGATGGTGAAAACGTTCCTAGTGGTTCAGGAGAGGAAGTCAATCATGATTTCACACCCCATCTAGTGAAAGAAACGAATGATGATAGTAACTGTAGTCACGACAATGATTCTGAAGAAGAAATGCCAGATAAATTGGACGATGATGGATATAATGATTACAGTGGATATAATGAATGTGATAGAGGTTATTATTATCATGACAGAAGATATGAAAGGAAAGTCTCACCAATGATGAGTCCTATTATATCTCCAGTATCCGCCTAGAAGAATTATTGGGTAGATTGTAAACTGAATTATCATATAGGTTTATTTTTTTTTCAGTCAAATCGAGATCAGCAAATTAATAGACATTAGAGTTGCCATATTTGTTTCAAGTTTTGCAATGATTGTAGTATTTGGGAGCGACAGTTCTGCAGTATTACATTTCGTAAAATCAATCTAACTTCTAACCCATGATGTGACACAGTAAATTTTCCCAACTGTCAAAGCTATTCTGGCTTCTTGTGATCCAAATACTTCACACCTTAACTTGTTTTGAAGCTCTCGATGTCCTGCATCTGGTCGAATTAATTTGGGATTTCTACAATATGTGGACCACGTTTTGTAAGCGGTTGATGTTTCAATCCTTAAATAGTACTAATAATACATTTTGGGATACATTGGGTAGCTATGAATTCTTACATAACAACCTACTAATTTCTCACCTCCTTTAGATTCCTAGAATCAGAAACTAGTATTTTGTAGGTTGTCAGATCACCAGCATTTCACACGCCACTTTGACCGCCTCTACAAGATTCTTTCGTAGTTATATCCAAAATAATGCACAGTAATATTATGCTAATCGTGACATGTATCATGAGAACAAGCAATTGCACATAATAATTTATTCTCAAACATTCTCGCACATTTTTAAAAATATGTATAACCCTTTAATGATCTTACATATGAATAGCGTTAAAGCCATTAATCAGATTTTCGTGATATGATCATATTAAAATAATTTTTCCCCAAGCATACTCTAAGATCGATCCTGCAAATTATATAAAAAAGTGATATCCTGTTAGTGAATCCTTTTATCTGCCTTATTATTATCTAAAAAAATTCCTATTCGATCCATCAATAAACACATTTTTCAATAAAATATACTGCGCATCCCTTTATCTAAGCATGTCCAGTTTAATATCATTCAACTCTTTAAAAACTATGTCATTTTTGGAATTATCCATCATTTTTTTGTTCATTAGTCCAGCGATATTCGTAGGAGTCATCACCATGTATGGAAATCTAAAACAAAAGATCTCCAATGAACTTTCCGCACATGTCATTAAAATTCTCATCGATCTTGATATACTAAATAATATACCAGAAATCGGAAAGAGGTCACTTTATGACCAGATCTTTACTGAACTTAATGATAAATTTGACACATATATTTCTGATATTAATTCTACTTTCACTGCGGAACTTGGAAGAATCAATAATAATCTTAATAATAAACTTACCGCGGAAGCTAAAAAAAACAAGGCATGTGATAATGACTTCACTAGGGAGGCGTAGAAAATTTTTTTAATGGTCAATAACGTAACTATGAAAGTTAATAATATTGAAGAAGCCTGCTGTAATGAATTTAGCAGAATTAATGGTTTTATTGAAAATCTCCAAAATGAAATAAATCAACATTATGCAATAGTTCAAAGATCCAATTTTGACCAATAAAGTGTGTCTAATGAATCTGAAGCTAATTCGACCAATGAATCTGAAACCAATTCGTCTCCAAGCTCTTCTTCTGGAAGTTCCAATTT